GTGTGTGTGTGTGTGTGAGTGTGTGTGTGTGTGTGTGTGTGTGTGTGTGTGTGAGCGTGTGAGCGTGTGTGAGTTTGCGAGTGTGCATGTGAGCGTGTGTGAGCGTGTGTGAGTGTGAGCGTGTGTGAGTGTGTGTGAGTGTGTGTGAGTGTGTGTGAGGTTTGCGAGTGTGCATGTGAGTGTGTGTGTGTGTGTGTGTGGGTGTATGTGTACTGTGTGTGAGTGTGTACTGTGTGAGCGTGTGTACTGTGTGTGTGTGAGCGTGTGTGTGTGTACTGTATGAGTGTGCGTGTGTGTGAGTGTGAACGTTTGAGCGTGTGTGTGAGCGTGTGAGCATGTGCGCGTGTGCGAGTGTGCATGTGAGTGTGTGTGTGTGTGTGTGTGAGCGTGTGAGCGTGTGTGAGTTGAGCGTGTGTACTGTGTGTGTGTGAGCGTGTGTGTGTGTACTGTATGAGTGTGCGTGTGTGTGAGTGTGAACGTTTGAGCGTGTGTGTGAGCGTGTGAGCATGTGCGCATGTGCGAGTGTGCATGTGAGTGTGTGTGTGTGTGTGTGTGTGAGCGTGTGAGCGTGTGTGTGTGTGTGTGAGTGTGTGTGTGTGTGTGTGAGCGTGTGTGAGCGTGTGTGAGTGTGTGTGAGCGTGTGTGAGCGTGTGTGAGTGTGTGTGAGCGTGTGTGAGCGTGTGTGAGTGTGTGTGAGCGTGTGTGAGCGTGTGTGAGTGTGTGTGAGCGTGTGTGAGCGTGTGTGAGTGTGTGTGAGCGTGTGTGAGCGTGTGTGAGTGTGTGTGAGCGTGTGTGAGCGTGTGTGAGTGTGTGTGAGCGTGTGTGAGCGTGTGTGAGTGTGTGTGAGCGTGTGTGAGCGTGTGTGAGTGTGTGTGAGCGTGTGTGAGCGTGTGTGAGTGTGTGTGAGCGTGTGTGAGCGTGTGTGAGTGTGTGTGAGCGTGTGTGAGCGTGTGTGAGTGTGTGTGAGCGTGTGTGAGCGTGTGTGAGTGTGTGTGAGCGTGTGTGAGCGTGTGTGAGTGTGTGTGAGCGTGTGTGAGCGTGTGTGAGTGTGTGTGAGCGTGTGTGAGCGTGTGTGAGTGTGTGTGAGCGTGTGTGAGCGTGTGTGAGTGTGTGTGAGCGTGTGTGAGCGTGTGTGAGTGTGTGTGAGCGTGTGTGAGCGTGTGTGAGTGTGTGTGAGCGTGTGTGAGCGTGTGTGAGTGTGTGTGAGCGTGTGTGAGCGTGTGTGAGTGTGTGTGAGCGTGTGTGAGCGTGTGTGAGTGTGTGTGTGTGTGAGCGTGTGTGAGTGTGTGTGAGCGTGTGTGTGTGTGAGTGTGCGTGTGTGAGCGTGTGAGCGTGTGTGTGTGTGAGAGCGTGTGTGAGAGCGTGTGTGTGTGTGCGTGTGTGCGTGTGTGAGCGTGTGAGCGTGTGAGCGTGTGAGCGTGTGAGCGTGTGAGCGTGTGAGCGTGTGAGCGTGTGAGCGTGTGAGCGTGTGAGCGTGTGAGCGTGTGAGCGTGTGAGCGTGTGAGCGTGTGAGCGTGTGAGCGTGTGAGCGTGTGAGCGTGAGCGCGTGTGTGTGTGTGTGGGAGTGTGTGTGTGAGTGTGTGTGTGTGAGTGTGTGAGTGTGATATTGATCATCCCATAATTCTGATTTTTGCTCAGTCTTGTGTGTCTATTAATCTATATAATTCTTCCCTCTAACTCCTAACCAGCCGCTGAAGAGACTCACTAAACAAATCCTGACACCTAGTGGATCTAGATCTACTTCCTCAGAATATCACAAGCGTTGCAATATGTCATGATCGAACGCATTATGTATTAATTGAATCATGACAGAAACTGAGCCAAATGTGTGAGAGGTGACCGACACACTCATGCTGAGAAATGAAGCTTTCAGAGTCTCTTCTAGATTAACAGAACTGTAGGAAACGAATGGACATAAATGAGAAACAAAGATATTTGTAAACATATACTGTATAATTCACATCCTTACATAAATATAAGGATCTAAAGTAATCACTGAGCATACTGATTTGAGCTGAAATCATTGTATTATGTGAGCAGAAAGAAAGAGACTAAGTGTGTCATCGCCGGTTCTTTGTTTGTGTTCCTGTATATTTTGTAATGCGTCTTTCTCTCTGCTTTTCTTCTTTTTCCGCAGGAGGGCAGTCTGTGGTGCTCTGATGGTCCCGGCTCTTCTAGTGCCATGAGTGAGGTATGATGCATTTCATCAATAACTGCACTTATATGCAAGTGCAGATGCTATTTATACTCTACACTCTCATCCACAGAATGAGATTTTCCGTTTCTCCAGAAAAGTCACACTTAACTATAAGAGGTCAAATTTGCAAGGAAACGAGCTGTACAGCTTTGTGCATGCTTTGGAAAACAAGTCGCAGCGTGTTTCAGATAATAAAATAAGTAAACGTGACTTACATTCATGCACATGAGGATAATACATTTACATTCTCGTGCATACTTGTAGATATGAAAGCAGACGTAATTAATTTCTGATGAAAAATGTCTGTAATCAGGAACATAGAAACTATGTTAAGACTGTGTTTTAAGAACTAGTTTAACCAAGTAGTAATCAGTCTTACTTTATAGATTCGAATTAGATTACTAACTTGTCGGACTAGTCTAATCTGGGGACTAGTCTAATAGGGGACTAGTCTAATCTGGGGACTAGCCTAATAGGGGACTAGCCTAATAGGGGACTAGTCTAATAGGGGACTAGTCTAATCTGGGGACT